TCGTAGGGTTCGTGATAGGTGCTGGACCTGGATAGTGAAATTTGAGGGCGTAAATGCAGATGCCCCGTAAAGTGGCAAAACAGCTTCTTCTTGGTTGCTTTGTCCTAGGTGTTTCTAGCCGTACGCCAGATAAATCGACGGTGCTTTAACTGACACCCAAACTTAGTTTAACAAGTTTAACTGCCAGTTCAGGAATCACGGCATTAGTGGGTGCAGATTTAAGGCTTCTCTGATCACTTTGTCTCAGTGTAAGCTTCAGGTTAAACCAAACAAACAGCATAGTATGTAAAGATAAAAGTTCTAAACGGGAGTAACGGCGAGACGGTTAAGGTAATGATGACATCGGGAGAAATATGACAAAATTGCTTCTTCAGAACCTTTATTACCTTAATTTTAAAGTTTAGAGCATGTTACAATAGTAAGATATGCAATAATTAACGATTCACTAAAGATAAGTACATAAATTGGCATACTTTAAGGAAATATTCATTTAATATCGATGCCATCGATATTAAATGATGCACATATATTTACATATGTATGTGCGTGCAAATATATTGCCTAACTAAACGCAGAAGAAGAAAGGCTGCTTCTATTACTTTTAACCGACAAACCTAAATCACATTAGTTTGTTATGCTGAACAATCTCTGAGGCGGTTAATTTAGGCTCTCGCGGCGTCAAGTCCGGTCAGTTGCTGCGGCGTAATGATCTTGGCTGGAAAGGCTCTTTTCGTCCAAAAATAGGAAATCATAGTAAATACTTGGCTATACTTGAAAACAGTGCGGTATCGGTCCCTTTGTTTAACGAGAGTGCTGTAAATGGGGCATTGCCGGATGGGCATGGTGGCATTACCCAACAATGGTAACTGCGATCCTCACCCTTGATACTGCTTCGCTCGTTGCTCAGGTGAGAATGGTTTGCAATTTATGAGCTGTTGTCATGACTTTCGTACGGCAGTGGATTCAATGCTTTTACCCCTTATCTTCAGGTCTCTTCACAATTTATGCATGGTAAGGGGGGTTTCGTTGGATGTTAAACCCTCTTTTTGGTCAGTCTAGCTTTTTTTCTTATTTATATAACTTTGGCCGACGTAGAGGTTCTTGAGAAGTATATGGCCTTTGAAATTAAGGAGTTGGTGGCAATTTTGGACTTCTTTCACTACCTCATTTATAAAGCTTTTCTCTTTGTACCTCCTTGTGCCCTCTAACTTTGTCTTTTTACTGGGTCATTCATGACTCCATGGGATTGAGCAGGAATCATCTCCTCCTCAGTAACTACATTCATTCAACCTCTCCCCTACGCGACCTCGACATCCTCAGAACCACCAGAATTACGAAATCGATAGTCGGCTGGGATCTCGGAATGCCTTCAGTTGCCCATCTTGAATGCCTCCATCAGCACTATCCTCTTCTCCATCCGTCTGCGCCTACTGGCGATCCCTTATAATCTTAATAGTTGGTGCAAATTCACACCTCGTAGGGTTCGTGATAGGTGCTGGACCTGGATAGTGAAATTTGAGGGCGTAAATGCAGATGCCCCGTAAAGTGGCAAAACAGCTTCTTCTTGGTTGCTTTGTCCTAGGTGTTTCTAGCCGTACGCCAGATAAATCGACGGTGCTTTAACTGACACCCAAACTTAGTTTAACAAGTTTAACTGCCAGTTCAGGAATCACGGCATTAGTGGGTGCAGATTTAAGGCTTCTCTGATCACTTTGTCTCAGTGTAAGCTTCAGGTTAAACCAAACAAACAGCATAGTATGTAAAGATAAAAGTTCTAAACGGGAGTAACGGCGAGACGGTTAAGGTAATGATGACATCGGGAGAAATATGACAAAATTGCTTCTTCAGAACCTTTATTACCTTAATTTTAAAGTTTAGAGCATGTTACAATAGTAAGATATGCAATAATTAACGATTCACTAAAGATAAGTACATAAATTGGCATACTTTAAGGAAATATTCATTTAATATCGATGCCATCGATATTAAATGATGCACATATATTTACATATGTATGTGCGTGCAAATATATTGCCTAACTAAACGCAGAAGAAGAAAGGCTGCTTCTATTACTTTTAACCGACAAACCTAAATCACATTAGTTTGTTATGCTGAACAATCTCTGAGGCGGTTAATTTAGGCTCTCGCGGCGTCAAGTCCGGTCAGTTGCTGCGGCGTAATGATCTTGGCTGGAAAGGCTCTTTTCGTCCAAAAATAGGAAATCATAGTAAATACTTGGCTATACTTGAAAACAGTGCGGTATCGGTCCCTTTGTTTAACGAGAGTGCTGTAAATGGGGCATTGCCGGATGGGCATGGTGGCATTACCCAACAATGGTAACTGCGATCCTCACCCTTGATACTGCTTCGCTCGTTGCTCAGGTGAGAATGGTTTGCAATTTATGAGCTGTTGTCATGACTTTCGTACGGCAGTGGATTCAATGCTTTTACCCCTTATCTTCAGGTCTCTTCACAATTTATGCATGGTAAGGGGGGTTTCGTTGGATGTTAAACCCTCTTTTTGGTCAGTCTAGCTTTTTTTCTTATTTATATAACTTTGGCCGACGTAGAGGTTCTTGAGAAGTATATGGCCTTTGAAATTAAGGAGTTGGTGGCAATTTTGGACTTCTTTCACTACCTCATTTATAAAGCTTTTCTCTTTGTACCTCCTTGTGCCCTCTAACTTTGTCTTTTTACTGGGTCATTCATGACTCCATGGGATTGAGCAGGAATCATCTCCTCCTCAGTAACTACATTCATTCAACCTCTCCCCTACGCGACCTCGACATCCTCAGAACCACCAGAATTACGAAATCGATAGTCGGCTGGGATCTCGGAATGCCTTCAGTTGCCCATCTTGAATGCCTCCATCAGCACTATCCTCTTCTCCATCCGTCTGCGCCTACTGGCGATCCCTTATAATCTTAATAGTTGGTGCAAATTCACACCGCCTAATTTCTGGCTCATGTGGTCAGTAGGTGCGGGGGCGCATGCTCTAAGTTGGCATGCATCAGGCCACATGAACGAAGTTGTGGCTTTTCTCACTTTGGCGGTGTCAAGTCATCAGCTTTTGCATTGG